CAAGTCATCTAAACTTAATTGTAAGGTCTTAGGACGCGAGCGTTTGCTATGATCGGGAGTAAAATGGAGAAATTTAGCATATTTTGGGTTGAAAGAAAAATCTTACTTTTTGAAGGACATCCAAATGTTGGAAGATCGTTGGGCACGCTGTATCGAGCTAAAAGGAGCCTATATTGAGGAATGAAATGAAATTTTGCGAAAAAAATGAGTTTTCATTCAAAAAGTACCCGACTTTTCAATCCACCTAGTATATTGCATTTTTGAAAATACTTTCGTGGGAATAGTCAAGATGGCGTTCTTCCAATGGCTGAAAAGCTATTGATATTGTGCCATTGTTGAAGAATAAAAAAGCTTTGTTAAAAAAAGCCTACAATAGTGATAATAAAATGAACAGGGCGGTTTTATCAGTGAGAGTGGTCATACTAATATTTTCAAACAGACTTTTTATTTGTGTGAGTTTAATCGTGAGTTACCAGGCTCATATCAACACTTTTATTGAACTTCTTGAATTCATAACATGACTTGTGTATGAGATAATAATGACCTAGGTCACTGTACAAAAATTAACGTTATCAACCTCAACAAGCATCGTCACTTTTGCTAATCGTTTTATCAATTTCCACAGATCTATGGGTAAGATTGAGAGTGGAGTATGTTTTTTCTTCGATTTATATTTTTGAAAAGGCGAGTATGTTTTCTCATGATTTCGTTGGCGTTAAAGTGGAGCATGTTCATTTTTGGCGGGTCGTAGCTAAAACTTACTCTTCTCTTTTATAACGAAGTCAGTGAAACATACACTACTCACCTGTAGAGATATTAATCATGAAAAAAAATACTGAGCACTTCGTGTCTCAATATGTTCAATGATGCTTGTAAAATGATTACGTTCCCACTGTTACAAGAATAATATTCAAGCAACATATTTCGCTGTGTCTAGACAAAGTACCAAAAAAGCTTAGCTTGCACATGACCCAAGCCAACGAGACGGTTCTTTATAGATCCTACAATTTGATCCATGTAATCCAAGTACCAAAGACCACCTTGCGAGTGGTTTTTAAACAGCCTAATTTTAATATAATAAAAAAAACATTCAATTTCATTGCAATGTTGATTTATTTTATTTCTTCAGATAGCAAATGTGTATCCATTTATGGAATTATGTGATGCAATTCCCGTGACTTCCATCGTAAATTTGATTTGAATTATCACAATTATTGGAAGCATTTTCCCTTGATGTATTTTGCAACACGGACGAACTCTTCCTTGCTAACCTGTAATTCAAAAGAAGGGGAAAAATCATCAGTTCTCAGTTCCACTCGAAAGAGATCTTTCGTTTCTTGTCTCACTTTTTTCAATTCTTCAAAGAATTTTCGGTGAATTGACTCGTCTTTTTTCAATTCACCGACAATGCATCTGTAAGTAGAAAAAAATGGATTAGTCGTACATAGAGGCAATAAATGTAACCATAAACGGTCAATAAATTTTTAGGCATTGAATAACAGACATTTTCATTTCTCCATGGTGGAGGAAAGCAATGAATTTTACTGCTAATTCGATAGAATGGAACTGACCTAGCTACGTCAACTTGACTTGGTTTTCGAGCGCAAGCCTTGATACGTTCGTTTAAATCGACTAAATGTTTGAAATATTCTTCCCAAACTGGAGCGAATGTGGTGCCCTTAACAGCTTCGGTGATGCCATAGATGACGCATTTTACCTTTTGGCGCAACTTTTCTTTGACTTCTTCTCCAATAGCTCCATTGAAACATTCAGCCAAGACCTTTTCAGCAATTTGCTTCAGCAATGGCAAGTATTTTTCCTGAAATTGTTACAAATCCACCTCGAAATCAATTAATTGGTTCATTTCGAATGGTGAAATTTAAGTTTTAGGCTGTGGAAAAACTAAATGGTGCACTTTAAACAAAGGAAATAAATCTTAGCCATGAGTTAGTGGCTTTCAAACCATTCATTTTGGCTCGAATAAATGATTGTTTCAACTTACATTAGCCAATGTCTTGACAAAATCACTGGCGACATCGGCACCCTTCTTGATAACGGCAACCATGCATCTGAAACGGAACAGTTCGTACGAATAAAGTCATTTATGTTGTGAACATTTGAATATTCAATTAAAAAATTGGAATAAAAACTTCACAAAAGTTGGCAAAATTCTGTTTCTTTGCCCAGTGAGCAATTCTGACTATAAATATATGCATAAACCATAGGCATATAATGTGTATACAAGTATGCTTAATACAGGCCTCACTAACATTGTATTATTATACAGAATTGTGCCTATTTCAGGCATATGGTCCACTTTAGTAATTTTATAATGTGATTGGTCCATTGACTATACATATCTCAGGTCTATTACAGACATACAAATAATGGGCCTGGTCAGGCCTGCGCTGCCATATAAACTACATAGAAAGTGCGTTACAAAATCACCATCCTAACAGGCCTAAATCAAGACATTTTTGCTCATTGGGTGATGAAAAAAAAAGGTTAGAAGAGAAACAAAAAATTTACTTGTGTTGTTGTGGATCGTCCATTTTCAAGCATTTTGCCCATTCAGCTCTCAGAGCGTCGATTTTGATTTTGGTTTCGGTCCATTTGCCCTTGAGTTCGCTATCACCGACCACTTTGCCAACCACATTATGAATGCAGTTCAGATGTGCATTATCCTTGAGATCGTCTATGATGCTAGCGAGATCATTTTTCGTTGATGGTGCGGCGGATACAACCTGCGAAAATCGTGAAAAAAAACTCAAATTGATTTCTTCAAATATTTTTCAAGTCTAAACAGAAAATAGAATAAAATTGATTTTCACAAATTATTCTGTTGATGAGAAGCACTCTTCCAAAAATGCCCACCGAAATCACAATTACTTACCGTTGCGCAAACAACGGCCACCAAAATAGCTGAGAAGAACTTCATGTTGATCGTTTGTTTTGTTTAGATTTCAAAATCGAAACTGTTTACTTTTCGAACATTTGGCGAGAGTATTTATTTGATTTGGCCAATCGATATTGTTGGTGCCTTAACTTGACTCTCGACCATTTTTATCAATATCGAATTAAATATCAGGCCATTTGACTTCGACTTTGCACAGATAAGAATTTTATTTTCTATTCTACCACGAAAATTCCTTGCTTGTGTTTCCAGTTCTAACTCTTATCGGATGAATAATCGACGAAAAAAAAATATACATTTTATTGCCCATGTATGCGAAGTCATCAAGCGGTGTACCTGTACAGTGTCAAGTGCAATATTTGGTGATGATTGAATCATGTGGAATTCAACTGAAGAAATTAAACTCCAACAGTAAACATTTGGATGACAAAGATTTATTCTTATCATTTCGAGTCATTGAGGTGACATTGAATTTAATACTTTGTAGTCTTAAATTGCTGGCCTGCACAGTTTACTGATTTGGAAGATTGCACAAGCCCGGCACATCTATTATTTATGATACATTTTGTATTTGCACAACGGAAAAATACATTTGGCCAGTTTCCAAATGAAGTGTTTTGTTTTTCAACAAGTTTCTAATATTGGGTTGTTCGCGATTTTTTATCTTTCTTCATGATAAATTGACTCATTTTACTCAAACTCAATACGTTAACAAATATCAAGATAGGCGACAGTTGAATATTTTTATATTTGCCTAAAAGTCTACTTTTTTCTAAATGCCTTGAACATTGATAATTCCAAACCAAAAGTGTTTCTATCAAGGCTTCCAACGGCTATTCATATTGTGCCATTGTCGAAGAAATATAAAAAGCTTTCTCAAGAAAAAAGCTACAATGCTGAAAATAAAATGAGTGGTTTTAGGATTGAGCGTGTTAGCAACACGCCGTGTTACTCGTGTATGTTTTATATTTTACTTTTTCTCATCGATGATACGTCATGGAAGAGAGTTGGTGTTATATGATTAAGTACGATAGGAAATTAAAACTTCCAATCTTCCATGAATATTGGTCATTTAGATTTCGAGATGAATATTATTTTCTATTATTTTTCTCGACTGTTCCGAAGCGGAGGTGTCGCAAAATAAAATCTATAAAATCGAATATTTCAACCTTACCTTGTGGACGTTTGGACAAAAAGATCGACAAAAATTTACACTATAGCAGTACACTACTGTTACTTCCATGTAAGTATTTTTCTCGGAATCAAATCCAAAAAATATTTGCTGCAAGCAATTTACTTGCAAAGTCTGTGCAGGCCAGTAATTTAAGTCTACAAAGTATTGAATTCAATGTCACACCATTTCGAACAATCACTCGAAATGTTAAAAACAAATTTTCGTCATCCAACTGTTAACTGTTTAAGTTTTCAGTGAAATTCCACATGATTTGATCATATCACCAAATGTTGTACTTGACATTGTACACCTCTAATCAATAGTATGATGACTTCGCATATATGGGCAATAAAATTTATATTTTTTTTCGTTGATCGGATGAATAATCCGATAGGAGTTAAAACTAGACGACAAAGTAGAGTGAAACTGGATACTGGAGATTTTGCATTGACATTTCCGACTGTTAACAAGACAACAATTCATATGCGTGTGCTGTCAAAGTCACTTTGTCATGCGTCATTCACATTAATGCTTTGACTGATTGTGGTGAACAGTGGTGAGATTGGAAACGCCATACATTTTATATATATTATTTGTTTGGGAATTATATTCATTTATTTTCTTTTATTGTTGATATTCGGGCTCTGCAAAGCCTAGGCTTCATCCACGATTTGTTTTCCAAAGAAATATTTCGAAAAAATCGTGAGTTTGCACTGTCAACACTTGTGTGGTTTTTCATATGATTTTGAAGTCATCGAATATTGCCACCCGTCCACACATTCAATGAACTTGCTACACCAAGTGATAGTTTAGTTCATTGGTGACGTTTTTCAATCCGCCATATGTATTTATATGTGTGTGTACATCAAAATGTCAAAGTTGTAAATAATGCAACCGTTCTCCTCGTTCTTTAACAAAAAATAACCTAGAAATTTCGTAGAATAGAAAACAAAATTCTTATCTGTGCAAAGTCGAAGTCTAATGGTCTGATATTTAGTTCGATACTGATATGGCCGGGAGTCAAGTTAAGGCACCAACAATATCGATTGGCCAAATCAAATAAATACTCTCGCCAAATGTTCGAAAAGTAAACAGTTTCAGTTTTGAAATCCAAACAAAACAAACGATCAACATGAAGTTCTTCTCAGCTATTTTGATGGCCGTTGTTTGTGCAACGGTAAGTAATTGTGATTTCGGTGGGCATTTTTGGAAGAGTGCTTCTCATCAAAAGAATAATTTGTGAAAATCAATTTTATTCTATTTTCTGTTTAGACTTGAAAAATATTTGAAGAAATCAATTTGAGTTTTTTTTCTCGATTTTCGCAGGTTGTATCCGCCGCACCATCAACGAAAAATGATCTCGCTAGCATCATAGACCATCTCAAGGATAATGCAAATTTGGAATGCATTCATAATGTGGTTGGTAAAGTGGTCGGTGATAGCGAAATCAAGGGTAAATGGATCGAAACCAAAACTAAAATCGGCGCTCTGAAAGCTGAATGGGCAAAATGCTTGAAAATGGACGATACACAACAACATGAGTGATTTTTTTTATTCTTTTTTCAACACTTTTTTCCATCAAAGAAACAGAATTGTGTCAACTTTTTTTCGAGCCTTTTATAAACTTTTGAGCAGTAATGCAATTCTTTGTTGGGAAAAATGTTTTTTCATCCATTTTTTAATAGAATATTCAAATGTTCGCAATGAAAATTAGTTAATTGTTAATTCATTCATCATTTTTCCGTTTCAGATGCATGGTTGCCGTTACCAAGAAGGGTGCCGATGTCGCCAGTGATTTTGTCAAGACATTGGCTAATGTAAGTTGAAACAAACATTTATTCGAGCCAAAATGAATGGTTTGAAAGCCACTAACTCATGGCTAAGATTTGTTTTCTTTGTTTAAAGTGCGCCATTTAGTTTTCCCACAGCCTAAAACATAAAATTCACCATTCGAAATGAACGAATTAATTGATCTCGTCGTGGATTTTTAACAATTTCAGGAAAAATACTTGCCGTTGCTTTAGCAAATGTTTGAAAAGGTCTTGGCCGAATGCTTCAATGGAGGTATCGGAGATGAAATCAAAGAGAAGTTGCGCCAAAAGGCAAAATGCATTCTCGAAGGCATCACTGAAGCTGTTAAGGGCACCGCTTTCGCTCCAGTTTGGGAGGAATATTTCAAACATTTGGTCGATTTACACGAACGTGTCAAGGTTTGCGCCCAAAAACCAAGCCAAGTTGAAGTAGCTCGGTTAGTTCTATTCTATCGAATTGGCAATAAAATTTATTGCTTTCAATTTTTATTTGGATTTTTTTTCTTATCTTTTTTTCTAATCTCCACCATGGAGAAATAAAAATGTCTGTTATTCAATGCTTAAAATTTATTGACCATTTATGGTTATATTTATTGCCTTTATGTACGACTAATCCATTTTTTTTTCTACTTACAGATGCATTGTCGGTGAATTGAAAAAAGACGAGCCAATTCACCGAAAATTCTTTGAAGAATTGAAAAAGGTGAGACAAGAAACGAAAAATCTCTTTCGAGTGGAACTTGAAACTGATGATTATTTTCTCTCTTTTTGAATTAAAGGTCAACAAGGAAGGCTTCGTCCGTGTTGCAAAATACATCAAGGGAAAATGCTTCCAATAATTGTGAAACCTTTTCCAAATCCCCTGGACAATTTCTTATTCAAATCAAATTTACGATGGAAGTCACAGGAATTGCATCACATAATTCCATTTTTTGTATGAAGGAAAGAAATAAATCGATTTTGCATTGAGATTGAATGTTTTTTTTTTGTTATATTAAGGTTAAGCTGTTTAAAAAACCACTCGAAAGGTGCTCTTAGAGTCTTGGATTGTATGGACTGGGCCATATTCAGAGCAAGGAATTTCATATGCTATTTCAAAATGAACGCAATTTCGAGGGCGCCATTTTCTATTTTACTAATTAAAAACCGAGACACGGACTCGTAAGTATTGGGCCAAAACCCATTACTTGCGACAACTCATGTGATGATCAATGTTCGTTGAACATATCTCTTTTCTTCATCTGATATAAAATGAACCTTGTTTTCAATTCCAAAAGGAAATGCCCGGTTGATTGTAAAATGAAAATCTTAAAATAAATCAACAAATACGAATGATCTCATTTCATATGACTTAAATGTATTTGTGCCCAATTTGCAGTAAAAATTTGTTGTTTTTTGTTTTCATGGTTTTTAATTTTCAAGCAAGCGCTTGTTTAACGAAAATGTAGATCGATAATTTTCAGCACATGCCCATTGTACTACGGTCGCAAATGTTTGAATTATGAATTTGAAATATAAAGGTTGGTTTATATCACCTCATCTCAAATAATAATCAATCTTCAAAACTTTATCACCAGAAAAGAAAATTGAACTGTTTTTAGCGGCGTACATCTACCACGTTTGTGTACACTGTACAGCATTAGCTGATTAGATTTTGGAAACAATTTAAAAAAAGGCGTGTAGAAATTAAAACACTTATGAGCCGTTATGATAAATCATCAGTGATTGAATTTGAAGAAATTTTCGATCGCAATTTGGACTTTGAAACCAATCGAATTCCAATGTTCAAGTCTCATATCAAAATCTTCGATCAATAGAATTTAATTGGTTTCGCAAGTCAAGTTTCAAATTGTTGCCAGTTTCATGAAATCACACCTCATTTAGAGATATGAATCATAGTACAGATAATGTGTCCTAAACTTAAGAGCTCTTCATTCTGGCAAATCGAATCAAATAAAAACTTTCGGCACATTACGAAAAAGAAACAGTTTGTGTTTGGAAATTCGAACATACAATAGTCAAGAATAACAAATTAACTATCAACATGAAGCTCCTCCAAGCTATTCTAGTGGCAGTTTTCTGTGCAACAGTAAGCGTTTTGACTTAACTTTTCTTTCATTCGAGTGTAATACGTGGAAAAACTCTTTGAAGTCGTTTTAGTTTCATTCAAAAATCAATTGTTAAAACAATTTTTTTTTTAAAATAAAATTGATCATTCTTCAACTTTCTATTCATGCAGATCGTGTCCGCTGCACCACCATTAAGCTCATCATTTTCATTCCAAGATTTCGCTCCATCCAAATTGATCGGCGAGATTGAAAATAAGATCAAGGAAAAATTTTTTGACCTTGAATGCGTTCGTAATGTTATTACCAAAGTTATCGGCGACAGCGAATTCAAAGCCGCTTGGGACAAAACCAATACAAAGCTTGACAATCTGATCAACGTTGAATGGCCAAAATGCTTAGAAATCGAAGATTTTCCGACACAACAAGGGTGAGTATTGTGATTCTAATCAAATTCGTTTTAAATTTTGAGCTGCAAAAGTATTTCATGGTTTCGCTGCTTCATCATGATATAAAAGAAGTCACTTCACTTTTGAAGATTGCAATTTAATACTTCTTTCACTTTTTCCATTTAATTTGAACCTCTTTTCTTGCACATCATTAGATGCAAAACCACCGTTGTAGGAAAAGCTCTCCAAGCCGTTGGTCTCTTCATCAAAGACTTAGCTCTCGTAAGTTGAAACAAACGTATTCAATTGCCTTAGAATTGTTTGCAAAATTAACTTGTCGATTGTTCGAAATGTCAGAAATCAAAATGGAGATTGATCAAAGAGATCAATGATAAGGTCTCAGCCGAATGTTACGAACACACCAATTTCAATGATTTGGAAAATGAAGCCGACCCATCCATGGCACGAAACATTGAAGAAAAGATCAAGTGCACCATCGAAGTCACCAGTGAAGCTCTGAAGGACACCGACTACGCAACAATTTGGGAAGAAACGAAAAAGGAATTGGAAAAGTTGCACGAACGCATCAAGGCCTGTAAAAGTCAAGCAAGCCTCCTGGAAGTCGTAAAGTATGCATTTTATGAATGGAATTAATTATTGCTCAATATCTCATTCGTTTTTCATGTTTGCAGATGCATCGCCAAAGAAGCAAATCAATTCCATGAAATTATTAGCAAATTCTTCGGCATTTTGCATCACGTAAGGCAGATGATTGAAAATTTGATCAATTCTAGCTCAAATATAATAAAATGAGAATTTTTTTAATGAATAGCACCAATATTGACTTCATTGTGGGTGCGCTAAACTAATCATTTTTTTTTCAATAAATTAATAGGTAAACAAGGAAACATACGAGCATGTCAAGAAAGCCATCAAGGAAAAATGCTTCCAATGAATAAATCCGAAGAACAATCTTATCCAAAGAAAATTTGAGATTGAAATGATAAAAATAAACCCATAAAATATTGATTGTTTTGTGAATGCATGAAATAAATGAAAACAACATTAAAGTTATTTGTGTTACCGATACTAGGCCAAGGTTAAAAAGACAAATATCAAATGAAATAGACTTTATTGAAGCGGCTAACACATATTCTATTGCGTATTTCAATTGAAAAATAGTTATAATTACAAAACTATTTTTCTGGTATGATTTCGCCATCACAACCATTGTTTTTTGGCTTATCAATTAATCGAGACTGTTTACTTTTCGTAAACTGCCAACAATTTGAAACTTGACTTTGCGAAACCGACCAAATTCTACTGATCGAAGATCGCAATGTAAGACTTGAACATTGATTGGTTTTGTAATCAGCATTGCGAACACAGTGTGTTGAAAAGTGTTTGATAAACACACATATATATGCGTTATCAAAATTTCTTTGATTGCAAATTCGTTATTTACTAAAACTGTAAATTTATGTGCTATTTCAATAGTGATGTTGCGTGTGCGAATAAGTGGTCGATGTCCGCCGCTAAGAACAGTTCAATTTTGTCTTTTCTTGATAAAACTTTGAAGATTAATTATGATTAGAGATGAGGTGATATAAAACCAAATGGGCCAACAATACAAATAAGTCATATGAAATGATCTCATTCGTGTTTGTCGATTTATTTCAAGATTTTCATTTTACAATCGTTTGCTTTTCAATCCAAATCAACCAGGTATTTTCTCTTGGAATTGAAAAACAGATTCATTTTGTATCAGATGAATGAAAGAAATATGTTCAACGAACATTGTTCATCACATGAATTGTCGCAAGTAATGAAGCATGGGCTCTGACCCAATACTTATGACAATTCATACTATGAACAATGTTCGTTAAATTCGATTTCATTCATCTTCGATTCGAAATTTATCTTTTTATTGAAGAAGAATAGGTCGTTCTCATCTTGAATGGTTTACCGAATTCTCCAAATGTTCTGTAGAAATTGAGGCCATTTATATTCAAATTTTTAAAATTTGAATTAAGTTGCCCAAAATGATCCGGCAAGTCTGTTGGCTTCATGTTGAAGTTTGAATTAATATTTAAATTTTTGAACTTCGAATTAATTTCATCAAAATGTTTCTGCATTTCAGATTGTTTAATATCGAACAAATTGTCAGTATTGAAGGTAAATTGTGTTTTCGCCACTTTGAAGCTCGGTGTATCAATAAGCATCGATTGTTGGGTCCGCGATGATTCCGGTTCAATTATCCTTCGTTGTCCAATGGGAATTTGTGATTTTGATGTGGATGACGTTGCCGAAACTGCACCACCAGGTGCCTTTCTTTTCATTGGATTTGGTCTTGTCCGTGGCGGTGTTGCGGGTGTGGCATTGCCTTTGGTATTACCAACATGAGAACAACCATTTGCTTTCCATTGTTTTACCGGCAGAACTTCTTCCGATTCATCATTTTCGAAATAAGTTTGGGTATCGTGTCGAGCAAAATCGAAATAATTTTCAGTGCTGCTGCAAAGCCCATTATACTTGGTGCTTTTGGTTTTGCATTTGCTGCGCAGAGGTCCAACAGTGTAAACGGGATCGCTTATCATATTTGTAACAGCATAATTGCAGGCGGTATAGTAGCAGTAGCCATTTTGAGTTGAAATAGTGGCACAGCCAATGGCATACGCTTTATCACGGCCCATTTGTGTAAAGTGACCATACTGGACATCAGACTCAATGCTCGAATAGACATTAGTCGCAGAGATCGAATCGACATGCTTATTCTCGTTCCACCATCCATCCAACCCTTTGTTGATCGCTTCCTCTGGTGTCATAAATGGTTGCTTACATGACATAGCAAGATTTTGACCGGCGAATCTGTGACGTTGAGTCCGACGGCATTGATCATGAGCCATAGTGCAGGGTAACAGATTCCTCTGAGCAATCATTTCCAACTCTGAATCCCAAATCTGAATGACCGAAGAAAAGAAACAGTAGAATAATACAGGTTTACATCTGTCTTATATCAGAATTCTCTCATGAAATTATTTACTCACAACTTCCGCCATGTCAACAGCTGTTTTCCCTTTAAAAACCCCAGGCAATTTACCTTCGGCAAGAATATCTCGTCGGGTATTATGACCGTCCACAAACATCTTCTTGCGTGCATCTGTCATATTGATGAAAGCTGCTTGATTAGCGCAATTGGTTCCCCACGTCTCAACGATACAATTGAACAGAAGAAACACATCGAGAATAAAAATTCATTCGAAATGTTCGTGCAGTAAAACTTCAACTCACAGATGGATAGGCGCACATAACGTGCGACCCTGCTGGTTTCCCATCACAATTCAGGTCACAGTAATATTGGGAATCGATCGCCTTGAAAGATTAAAAAGAAAATAGCTATTGAGATAATGGCCAATTTGCGATTTGTGTTGAAATAGTTGAACTTTTGTTTGGTTGGCAATGAGTTCATTTTAAAAGCGAGTAAGTTCGTTTTACAAATCACAATATTCTATTTGAGAAGCAATATTTACCACATTCGCTTCGGTGATGGTAGCTACTGCGAGCAGATCTAGATGTTGAATGGGAAAAATAAGTTATATTTTGGCACAGAAGTCAAACGATTAGTTTGCAATTGTAACTTGACTTAAGTCAAAATGTCTGTTTACCAAAAAGTGCTAAAACTATTTCCAAGATCATATTCGATTCTTGAGTGTCGCTTCACTGATAACTTCTACTGATTAGAACCATGTCTTTTATAGGAGAAAATTTGCTGAACATATTTTTCTTTGGACAAACAACTCGCACGCGTTGGCATCATTTTGCAATTAACTTGTATTTATAAAGTCAATAGCTATCGCTATTTGGAATGTAATTACGTACATCGATCGAAAATTAAACTCATATTACATTTGAATTATCTTGAATGAAATATTTGAATTGACTTCTTAAATTAAAGGGGAAAAAAAACTACATCAAAGTTAATATACTAGACATAGTGCGTAAAATCATCTTTATTATTTCATTAGGTAAATAGATCACATATTGCGCGCTCCGAATCAAATTAACAGCTATTAAACTCGTGTTCCTTTATTAAAAGTTGTTGGTTGTCTCGGTTTTTATTTTGTAAAATATTTATAATGGGGCAATCAGTTACATATTACACCGATTGGACTGATGACATTTTGACAACTTTTTTTCAAATGTTCTGACTTAATTTTTGCTCTTCATTGGTGATCGTATTTGGACAAATCGTTGTTTTTCAAAGAGTGCTACAATATTTTTGAGTTTTAATTTTTCTGTTGTTAGTTTGCTACTTCACGTGATTTTATTCAAATTCATTCCAAAGAACGTGTGAAGGCTTTATATCATTTGTGCTTTTTGCAATAATATGGAGTCGCTATGATTATTTACCAATCAATAGTACTGAAGTACAGTGTATTTGAGTACGTAACTTCTCCACTACTGCTTGAAAGCACAATGGTATAAAAATCTGCAAGATTTTACGCCTCGCTCTTTTCATTTCTCTTTGAACGAAAACCCTGTAACCAGACAAATTCATTTCAATGGTTCAAATTATGTGCTTTCATTTGTACTGTACTGATACTAAAACAATCCAGTCACAACTAGCAAGAATAAAAAAAACGGTAACTGCAAGTGTGAATGAGTGAATAACATGTTATTGATCGATAGTTCCAAACAATGTCATTGGGAATAATTAAAAACTATTCTATTGAAATCAATGATAGGAAACAATTTTGCATTAAGAAGTGGGATTAAAATTAATTTGATTGATTTTTCACACATTTTTCTGCTGTGATTGTGTGTTCAGCCTTCAATGGCTTATTTTTCAATAAAACTAATTATGTCCTTCATCTGAATACATTATTTCAAAGCATTATTGTTCTGGATCGTTGGGAATTCCTAATCAATCACAAAAAATCACTGATTATATTATGAATTGAAATTGTTTAAAATGAAAATAGAAATTTATTGATTGAATTAGATAAATTGAAAGCTGTTTTATTTGTTATACTATTCAAAATACCTCTAGAACCTGACACTCAGTCATCGATAGTCACTGTTTGGAATTTGATGCAATATTATTCAGATCTGAACAATGGAGCAAATAAGGCGCGTTAAATTAGGAATTCAAAGCCAAACTCAATCAGTTGTAAGTAACTAATGTAATGAGACATCGCAAATAGTTTCAAAATTGGATCTAAATTCCATCATTTGACCATTTAATATAAGATCTAATTTTGTTATTCGAATTGATCCTTCTTTATTCAAATTAGAAAAAATTACTCATCACTATTGGCCGTGGAGCACGGTCGCTTTTCATCGCGAGTTCACTTTCATTTATGTGTTCTTTCTTTATTTAACGGTCTTTATTTAAGTGATCATTTTTCAACCAATTTTAACGCATATCAACACTTGCTAGCTACATACACGGTGAAGCTGAGCTCAGTTTGAAACACACATTCTTTGTCAGCCTTTCATCTAATCCCTCATATCATAATCTTCCTTACTACCTGATACGATTTCTTTATCTTGTCGACTGAAAACATCGATTAATTTTATATGTTACGGCTCTGGTCAGGTTATTAAAGTGTTAATCAAAAATAGAAGAAAAAACTTCTTTCAAAAAAAGAAAAAATAAAGAATGCCCGCAAAAAATACGTGCCAAATGAACACCTGTAAGTACTATTGCAGTTTTAGTTTTATCTTTGATTTGCCTTTTCCGTGTACGGATAAATAATAACATGGCGTAATACCATTTTGTTGGAATTTGAGGATAAAATTGAAATCCAGCCGATAATTTTATGGTTTCAATGGAAGGACAGAGATTGTTTTTGAGTTTTATTTTCTCGGTCGTTCCAATTTTGTAATTCAAAATGTCCCTATTTAAATGGACAAAAATTGAAGAATTGCCATCAGTATTTTCAAACCATCCGAAGGATAATCATTGACATTTGGTGACAAATACCATTCCATTCGCTTCATACGATTCAACACCGTCTGAGAAACAAACATACAAAAGTAGAAAAATCATCACAAGGCCAATTCAGAGCTCCGAGT